TTTTGAAGTGTGTCTTTGAACTTACCTTCGTGCTGCCTTCGAAATCGGGGCCCTTTAAAAATAGCTATTTAATTAGCACGCTTGTTTTTTGATTTTTGATGCCCTTAAATATGCAACTATGCTTAATAGAAGTCATAGACAATTACATATATTCTGCTGTTCTTTTTTTAAATTTACGTCTTCATATATGCTATACTTGAATAAAGGGTATAATTTAGTTGTAATAAATATCTCATTGCCGAATTCATTTGAATCCGACATGCCGATTCACTTACCTTCAGATTTTCAGTGAACAAGCTGCATATTTACCGTGTACAAAAACCGTACGATCCTCTATGGTATAAATAGGAAAGCATAATGCGTTTGTTAGATTTAACAGCGGGTCTAACTCATAATGTGAACTTAACGCGCAACCTAAGTTAATTCCGAGAATCCAAGTTTTATGAAAGGGTATTGTACGCTATTAAAATCGCATAATCGAAAGATTTGAACACTGAATTTCATCCATCGTGCACGAATATACTTTAAAAACGATATTCTCTAGAAAATAAGTAAAAAATGCATTTTTATCCGTGCATCCGTGGAACATTTTTTATGTCCGATGTTAACCACGATGATAAATTTATTAAAAAAAGGCTATTAAAGGTTAAAAAAAGATTTTTTGTTAGTCCTTAAATGCCAAATTAGCAGATCTGGCGACTTCGTGTTCCAAAACGCAGTATTAGCTCGGATAGGCATTGCTTCGTGTAAATGGACTTTAGTTGTTTGCCGTTGGGAAATCTCTACCTGATATCACACAAATGACCACCATCAAATGGTCTTTTATAGTATTATACACATAAAACACTGCATGTGTTGTAGATCCGTTTCTGAGAATACCTAATAAATAAATAGAACGAGCAAAACATTAAAAGTTTCACCGAAATATCCATATTTATGTAATTGCTCCGCCGCAAATTTAAAATCAATAAACGGAGTCAAAAAGCAGGAAGACACCGAGTAAATGGCTTTAATATATAGAAAAATCTATGTTCTTAAGTTTACGGCAAAAGTACTAGTACTGCTTAGAAACGCAAAGGCAATGGTTAAAAGACTCGAATTTGTATTTGGTCTTACCGTGCAAAAATGCAAAATACAAGGAGATCCGTCAATGCATTGCAGTAATAAAGCACTCCTTAAAAATGACACTTATAACGTAATGTCTCCTTATTAATTAAAGGCATATGTGATGCTGACTTTCGTTTCGGACAGCCATTAGTCTCGAAAATGAAGTTCCTTGTTTGAATTAGCCTTTACATGTGGCCCAAGCGAAAATTTTTGTAAAACAGAACGTCCAAAAACTCACGTATTCAGTTAATGCCTCAAATTAAAAACGTATTTTAAAGTTACCAATATACGAGTTATTCAGAATCTATCTATATGGACGGTCGGATGAAAACGCTAAAAATCATAAAGTATTCAGCAGCATTCGGAAGTCAATCTGAAACTTAACGTAATTCAAAATAAACGAAAAGTGTAAATGAATAAAACGGATAAAAGGTCTCTCTATAAACACAGAATGGTTTGTTAAATATCTGTATTGGTTGGATTTTATCTGTCTAAAGAGATTGATGCATTGCGACTGAGCGTTTGCATGTGTACCTATACAATCGTATTATTTTTGGACTTTAAAGCTTTTAACGGCTAGCAACTGCGTGATCTGTAAATGGAGTTTGCAATAAAGTTTTTGCGTCATCAAAAATTGGCTTTACAAATGCATTTTTGACGCCAAAGATAAACCGAATGTTCTCATGAAATTTAGCCTGTGTATATACTCAAAAGCTTTGTTAAAAATCCGTGTATGTCCTTTTTTTATAACTAACTAGCTAAAATTTATTTGGTCAATGTACTGCGCATTATACTTTTTACACATTTTTATTTACTGTGGACTTAAAATACGAGCCGAAATTTAAAATACGTTTAACGACGAATATTTAACTTCAGCATAGTTTAATTTATGAATGTTGAGCTACCTTTGCGGCTTTTCGCTTAGATTCATAATTATAGTGCGCATTTTAATGACTTTCTGACGCGAATAGGTAGGTAATGTAGCCGTGTCGGCCTGTGCGATGGTGTAAACGTGTCAAATGCGATGCGTAAATTAACACGTAAACCTACGTCGTTTGCTCAGCAACGATTGAGTATCGCACCGGGAATTTCATGAAAATTGTGCCGAGGATGTGGCTACAAATGATGATTTCTACCTGACCACCAGCATCTTTTTTACAGGAATAAAAATAAAACATTTTTCAAGGCAAGTTTCCAGGGACTTCTAGCAACAACGCACAGTTTGATAGCGATAGCATCTGCTTGGATAGCGAGTAATCTTAAAATCATTTACCAAATGGCGATAAAACCATCATTAATTAATTTGAGCTCAGTATGTGTCTAATAAGCTATGCACGTATTACCCAATATCATTAGAACAATTTTTAATTAAAAGGTGGTTTCATTTAAATTAAAACCAGTATCATAGAACATTTGTAATTTCCTGACTACTTGCGTAAATGATGAATATTTTCGCATTCCTTGCATCGAGGGCATGTGAATAATTTGACTCTGTCTACGTTTTCCTTTATAATCGAACTTATTTCATATTCTATCAAAGGTTTTCGAGTAGTTTTTTTCGAATTAATCTGTAAATTTTAAGTTAACGTCGCATTATATTTTTGTAAAAAAACTGACAGTCTAAAACTGATGAAAAGTGAATTGTTGACGTAGTGAATAAATTATTCATTCGCTCCTGACGGCGTAGCGCGTCTCAGCTGCATTTGAAATATAAACTAATTCGTAACGGAGCGTCGAGACCGCATTCAATCACAGGAGAGTATGCGACTTTGTGTATGACCATATAAGGCGCATCCATACACACACGTGCATACTCTCACAGCGCAAATTTGTACGTCATCTACTCTGTCATCTCAATATTGACTGGCAACACCCTCGTTGTCATTTTTTACACACAAAACAGGACGAAAACCACAATCGTAAGTGAGGGAGGACAGCGAGCAAACCTGACGGGCAGAAGGCAGGTCACACAAACCCCCTTATTATGCTGGTGTGTCATGACCGATAGATCGGGATTGTCATAACAGCGCAAGAATTCTACCCAAAACTACATCCAACATCAATTTGTACGAAAGAAGCAGCAATGTGACAGCAGTTAAATAATTGTAACCAATAATGATGCCAAAATCGCGTGATTGGACTTTTATTGTAAATTCTTAAATATTCAGAAGAGAGAGTGGCGAGTGAACGTTCCTTTCGGTAAATTCTCATCAGGCCAATACAATTACATAGGGCGGGGTACAGTGAGTGAAACAAAAATCGATAAAAGTGAGGTTTTAAATTACAGGCTCGGCAAGAGCGGAAGGGCGCCGAAAGTTGCATGTGGTTAGTCAACCTTTGACCACGGTAAGCGCGGAGCCTGAACAAGGTTCTTTTGGGCGCATAGGGTCGGCTTTCGTAACCTTATGGCGGCCGCTTCTGCTGTTGCTAGCAGGCGCTGGCCCAGTAGCTTAGGGTAGCTCGAGGGGACCGAAAGGAACGTTCACTCGCCACTCTCTCTTCTGGATATAGTGATGGGGATTTTCACACAGTTAAAACAGTCCAAAGACCCCATGGTGTTGAAGGCACTCAATGGGTACCTACGTTTTAACACCAAGCTTGCGGAGGCGAAAGTGATGGCCAAGTTTATCGGGGACTGTATTGAGAGAAATGAGTATCCAGACCATTATTGGAGAGCGCTGCGTCGTAGTCGCACAGTTATTACCACAAAAACCCTGAAAAGATATGCCGAGAATCAACTGGAGAGTACCTTTGTAAAATTAGAGGAACTTGAGCGTCATGTGTGTCAACGCACAGCCGTCCTATATATCCTGGCAGATGAGGAAAGACAAGAATTCGACATGTACACTCAGTCCATTAAAAATAAACGTGGTGAGGCAAAACACTCTGCTCTTCTTAGGAGTTTACATGAGATGAAAGCCCAGTCATGGTTTCCGAAAGACCCAGCTCGGTACGTACACAACTACTCTTATATGACACTTGATAAAACATCACTTGAAGCATTATCCCTTGGTCCGAAATTCTGCACACCTCGTCGAAAAGTAAATCAGTTAGAATTGGAAACGCAGTTCGAGAACCTCTGGAACCAAACATTCGATCTATTGCCCGTTTCCACAGACAGTATCCAACACTTCAAATCCACACAAGTGAATTGCAGCTACCAATACCTAAACAAAGGACCAAAAAGTCGAGGATTACTGACAAAAGCACACGTGGAAAAATTAAAAGAACTTCGAGGGAAGAAAGAGATCTTGGTAACTAGACCTGACAAGGGAACAGGCGTCGTCATAATGAACAGATCGGACTACGTAGCGAAGATAGAGTCCATACTATCTGACCAGAAGAAATTCAGAAAGACAGATAAAGAGAAGGATTGCACGGATGACGCAGAGGCGAAATTGACTGACTGTTTAAGAAGGCTCCACACAGGAGGTCACATAAGTAACCATGACTTCGAACACCTCCGGCCAGTCGGGACACATATTCCCCGATTATATGGTCAACCTAAGATCCATAAGGAAGGCCTACCGGTTCGCCCGATTTTAGATATGCGGAACTCTCCGTATCATGCGATAGCTAAGTGGTTAGCAGAGAAGCTCAAGCCCATACAACATCAGCTGGCACCACGCAGCTATCGAGATACCTTTCAATTCATTGACGACATTAAAGACCTCAACCTTGACGGCATGATGATGTTCTCACTAGACGTTGCATCACTTTTTATAAACGTCCCAGTCACCGAGACAGTTGACTACATCTGTGATTTTCTATCTGCCAGTCATCAAGAAATAGGACTGCCGACAAAAACACTCAAGGAACTATTACTTAGATGCATATTAAATGTGCAGTTCCTTTTTGACAACCAACTCTATAGACAAATAGACGGCGTTGCCATGGGCTCGCCTCTTGGACCTCTCTTAGCCGACGTCTTCATGGGCAAGCTGGAGAGATTTCAACTAAGCGATCAGATCAAGAAGCTTAAACATTATGGTCGCTACGTTGATGACATCTTTGCGATTGCAACCACAGAAACCGACGTCGCTGCCCTCCTAAATGCTGCAAATCAGGCACATCCGTCGATCAAATTCACGTTGGAGATGGAGTCGGCTGGTTCGCTTCCTTTCTTAGATGTCCTTCTAAACAGAAGATCTGACGGTAGCATCCGAAGGAGTGTCTATCGAAAGAAAACCTGGTCTGGGCAATACACGAACTTCGCTAGTTTCGTACCTCTCCAACAAAAACGGAATCTAGTCAGGTGTTTGGCACAAAGGGCTAGAAAAATTTGTTCGAAAGATAGTATCGTGGAGGAACTTAGAAAAATCCAGGACTTGCTTCGCGAAAATGGGTATCCTGACAGGTTCATTGCACAGAACCTTGCCGAACGACCTGCAAAACCCACCACACTAACCGCCGAGAAGAAAAAGTTGTTCCTCAAAGTCCCCTTCCAAGGAGACGCTGCAGGTGAACTCCTAAGAAGACGCCTTGACCAAGCTGTCTCGGGAACCTTCCCAGCAGCGAAGGTTCGCATATCATTCTCCACTAACCCTATTCTACGCGGAGAAGGCAAGGATAGGCTGCCACCTCAGACCGCCTCAATGTGCATCTACTCATTTACTTGCTCCTGTGGAGCAGGTTATATTGGTCGTACGAGTCGGCGCCTTTCCAAAAGAATACGAGAGCACCTTCCCGCATGGCTGGCAAAGGGTGAAACTAGGAGAATAGACAGCGCCATCCTTGCGCATGCAGTGGACTCAGGGCATCGTGTGGACCCCACCGAAGCATTTCGTGTGATTTACAAGGTCCCCTCGAGCTACCCTAAGCTACTGGGCCAGCGCCTGCAAGCAACAGCAGAAGCGGCCGCCATAAGGTTACGAAAACCGACCCTATGCGCCCAAAAGAACCTTGTTCAGGCTCCGCGCTTACCGTGGTCAAAGGTTGACTAACCACATGCAACTTTCGGCGCCCTTCCGCTCTTGCCGAGCCTGTAATTTAAAACCTCACTTTTATCGATTTTTGTTTCACTCACTGTACCCCGCCCTATGTAATTGTATTGGCCTGATGAGAATTTACTGAAAGGAACGTTCACTCGCCACTCTCTCTTCTGAATATAGTGATGGGGATTTTCACACAGTTAAAACAATTCTTAAATGCTTAACGTTATTACTTAAGCGCAGCGTAGTATGTCTGTTTATAAAACACACAGTTACCCAATGTGCACTAAAAAGGTTAATATGTTAAGCATTTCGTTAAGTAATCAGTTGATTTGCTTTGCTTATGACGTAAATATGATAAATTACGTTCAGCGTACGTGCAAATTGTCCCTGTACAGTGCCATGCCTTTGTCACCTTTCTCTAAGGGCAACTCAAAGTAATGTTACAAATTTGCCTTTCAACAACCCTTTTGGTTTTTTCCTAGAAGCAGTTTGCCTTTGCGTCTAAATATAGAGAATTACATGATAATCCAACTACAATGTCTGTCTGCTGTAAGGGATGACGTCTCCGCAGTTAATAACTTAGGTGTTCGCAGTTCTGCGTTTATATTGTCGATTTACCAAATATAATGTTGTATGTTTAAGCCTGTCTTAGTTACACAGGCACAGACGGGGACAGTAAATCGTGCGATTCATCGTCTGTTATCTTTACACGGCGATTTCTGTAGTAAACATCATAATAATTTAAATTAGATGTCGTCAATTATTTGGCATGTATAATGCAGGCTATGACATTCCCATAGCAGGAATTTCGCATATTGCCATCCCCATGCATAGAAATGTCAGCACGCTTTTCCTTCATATAAATGGATTTTCGAACATTAACTGAATAGAAATATTGAGGATTTGCTGTTCGGTTTTAATTCTTCCTCGGGGCTGCTTTTATCTGCGTATACTTTGATCAAAATAACGGCGCAAAGAGGCATTATATATTTATACTGTTGTTTGTAGGTCAATGTTATAAATCACGAAGTGGCAGACTCAATTGACACGGAGGATTCAATTTAAAATCTGATAATCCGTATTCAACATAAAATACCAGAATTCGTTTTATAGGCTTCTTCGATCGCAATGACTGCTTTTTTAGTTTTGTCATTGCTCAGACGAGATTAGAAAACATACCTTTTATGTCCTTAGGATTCTAGACACTAATACCTTCAGACCGCCAGACCATAAAGTTGTCTAGTATCTACGCAGACATTTAAGCTTAAATGCAAGTGATTTGTCAGAAGAGTATGAATATGTCAACTACTTATTATTGTTTTGAGAGAAGATGCACGCATAACGTGTCACACAAAAAGATGCATATCGGAAAATTTTTCCTTTATCTAAGCAAAGATTTTTGAAAATAAAATGCAGGCTAGTGTTTCATGGAAGATAAACAGAACCTATATTGCCACAGGCGGTGAATTCAGCAAAATCTGAACGGTCTTAAAGTGCAGCGAAAAAGCAAAACTACATAAATACCACCGCGATGGATAACGACATTTTTAATATAAAAGAACGTCGGAAGTTTCAACAGCATATGCCAAAATGTGACCGCCAAACATGCAGTCCTTTATCACATGAACAGAACACTGTGCTTATCATTGTCAAGAAGATAAAAATGCATTACAAATTCGACTTTCATCGCCTTTGTCTGGTATTCTAGTCGACAGCATGCAAGTCGTCATTGTCCATTGAACGGAGGAGGGATAAGTGCGATGCGGTGTGTGTCTACAGGTTAAGTGTCAGAGCGTAATAGGCAGGACTCTCGGGGTTTTAAAACGCGATTCTTCAAAAAACGATTCTTCAAAATGCGATGATGCATATTTGAATATTGCTTGATTTCTCACCGCAACGAGGCAAATGGCTGGAGTGTCTTCGACCTTAAAATGCTGTGCAGGACACTTCGGTTTCGTAATTGCTGGCTGTCCTAGAACTTGAAATGGCCAGAATAACCTGCGGCGTGTTTATTCTTAGTCGCTCATGAGTGTCGAAATACAAGAATAATTTACCGAGTTTCGGCAGTCGTAACAGCAAGTGGCAAATGTTAGGATAATTTCAAAACGACAGTTACGGAGGCCCTTTCTTTTTGCAATTAGGGAGGTTAACCTCAATCATGAAAGGTTTCGAAACTTACGAATGATTGATAACCCAAAAACCGACACCAGTGAGTGCACCCAACATATCATAATAATGATAGTACGAAAACTAAAAACGCAACTTAAAAAATCGAAATTGTTGCAATATAGGAAAGAATCCGATTTGAAAATGACAATTTATAAAACGTAAAAAATACAAAACGTGGTTTGTATGTAGTAGGCTTGATTTGTTTGGTCCGAAAATAAGTATTTGCAAAGCAATGGGTTCATATGGCAAAATAAACGGAATAAGTTCTCTAGAATTGTCTTTCTGTCAAGGCTGCGTTTATGAAACCTTCGCAAATTAGCGCAATTTGAGGTACGGCTGACTGTCATCAGGTTTCGTTCTGAGTTGAGATTCTACGACGGTTTTCCGAGGATTTGGAAAATCCCTCTTATTTTGAATTGATAAAAATGCGGCTCAAATGGGTTAACATAATTTTGATTAATTTTTTCAATACTAAATATGCAGGCAAAACCTTTTCACAGGAATACATGTTGCTAGGGGAGCCAGTGACTGATAATCTTAAATATAATTTACAGATATAATCGTAAGCATGTCATTTCTGTATATAACTGGGTCTTTTTATTTACGAAACTAATTACCTTCTTGTTTGTTCAATGATGTTTTTAATCGACTCCATTAAAATACAAGCACTATATTATTTGTTTATTGTCATTTTTAAAACAAAATCCCCCTTGAAGGCATTGGCTGAAATTTTAAATTTTAAGGCGTTAGTTTTCATAGAAAAGGTCGCTTGAATGACCGTTTTATCTAACCTAAACTGCCCACGAAAATGTCGTCAATGAACATGCCTATTAAAATTTAAAAATATTGCCCAATAATAATTTTTTTAAGGAATGCTTTAATAGTGCTCAGTGTTGACGGATGTCTGTGAATTATATTTTTTTGCACAGAGCAGCCGACCAAACGTTATGCGCTTTCCGCTGTCGCTATCATGATACAATAAAATACTTATATTTTTTCTACAAACGTACGAGTCTGCATTACTCTCTATATTCGGTACATTTTCGCTGCCTAAGCTGACATATTTGCCCCCCAAGGTGGTAATGCGTTAACGTCTTTCTAAATTACAACTGTAAAGAAGCTGGATCACGAAAAGAAAATTTTTTCATATGCTAAGAGCAAAAATGTCTATTCAGTGGTAGTCGTTTCTGGTGTCAATCCGTAAAAATTCCCAAACATCAAAATAATTTCAATAAATAATTTCATTAATAAATTTCAAATAATTTCATTTAACAATCGACCAAAACTTCTGTTAGCAAACGAATTCCCACGTTAAGCATCCGATAAATTAACAGATTTTTAGTTCAGTTTGTTTGTCAAAGTTTTCAGTGGTAAGCAAATCTCATATTAAAGGCATCCACGCTTGGATGCGCAACCGAAGGCAAGTTCAGGTATAATTGCAATCAGCATAAATATATTCCAACGTTCATTTTCGCTCAAATTTTTGAACATTTCGCCTGAATAATTATGCGAACGTATTTTATACCCACGAAATGGCATTTTCTGAAGTAACTGCACGAAAGAAAAAGTGCGCAGACTTCAAAGTGTCGGTAAATTTTCTTATATGTTTTTGTCATGAGCTTTCATTTTACAAGTCACGCACTGAATTACGTGTATCGATTAGACTATTTACACTTAAAAATCAGCGTATTGCTATCATTTTTTTTTGGTCACATTAAACTCCTTATATACGTTAAACCATTTGGCAGTATTATTTGGCTACATTAAGCAGTAAATATGACCTATTTGTGCCAACAAACACTGAGGTTTACATCAGTCTTTAATTAAGCCTAAAATTAAAATCACTCAGTGTAACCAATTACGAAGTGGTGACCTGTTTTATTTCGTCTGTCAATGTTTAGCTAAACTGATTTGCTTTTCGGTCTGCAGACAACATTATGTTTTTCCCTTATGTCGGAAGATTTCATTCGTATTTTCTTAATGCATTAACATGGACATTTATATGTCGACTTTGGAATCCTAATTTGTCCAAAACGGTTAGCACAAACTTTTATTGCCTTTCCTTATTCTCATTATTTTCATACAGTAAATAAAATCAAGAATTTATATTATTATGCTCGTTTTTGTCAAATTTAATCAAGTTTTTTTGGGCAGCGAAAATCAATGCAAGGACGTCGGTGGGCCAATTGTTTACTAGTAAATTTTATGCGGACTGAGGAAAAGGAAAACATGAAAAGATCGCGTCCTGGAGTGATTAAAGTCTTTAGGAAGTTGCTGCAAAAATGAATATACAAATCCATCTACGTAAATATTCTGTACTTAACGTACTTCTAAATTGGTTTGGATTGTTTTTGGATACATTAACTACTGCATTAGTCATCTAAGAATTTGGCGCAAACATTGTTAATCAAAACGTCCAAATTTGGCCGCGAGATATATAAAATATTAAGCGCTAAGCATACCAGATATATTTTCATAACCACTTTGCCTTCTAATCATACACAAATGGAATTGGTGTCAAAGCTAAACTGGAGTAAAATGCAGTTCCGAGGCTGTGAGCATAGATCTCCCCTAGAAAGATGCGGATAAAATCAAAGACAGTCATAATGAATGCTTCTCACGCATACGACACACAGCGTGAAGAGGGAAATAGTTTCAAAACATGTGTTGATCCGCTTTCGAAAAATAAATTTGATAAATGCATCGATTACACATAAGTTTGGTGCCTTTTCTATTTGTCTGTTATATTCTTGGACACGCTGTCCAATGAGCAATTTAACGATGTCAGTACAATCTCCGAAATTGTTGAAATGCGACATCAGTAGGTGTATGCGCCAATGTGATTTGTAACTGCACGAGTGTCGAGAATCAGGCCGTGTGTCCCAACATTGATCCAAAACCCCCACGCAATTATACACAACTTTCGGTGGGAGTATAAGTACAACATCATCTTTCTAGGCAATTATGACTTTTCGATGATGAAGGATAATATAGAGTTCAAACGTCATTTGTAAACGTACAAACGCGTAATAAAAGATTTAAATATCGAGTCTTTATCATCAGAAATATTTGGGAAATTCAAATCCACTTATTAAAACTTGTATAGCCAATATATTTTAAATGCATGTGGACATGCCCATCAACTGATAGAAGCGAACAGGCGAGTTCAAGGTAGCAGTTCAGAAGATGAAGATGCAATCACTGAAACAAGAAATTCAATTGCTTGACGTTTCGGATCCTCACTCGAATCCATCATCAGAGTCATTCGCAGATACAGGTGATGGTGGCACCAGGAGTGCAGTATTTATAGCACGTGGCTGCCGTGGACCGTATGCGCACCGCAATTAACAGTTCTCGCAAACGCCGCCGGGGTCGTAATTGATGCGGCGGTGGCTTGGAGGTCCGTGTCCAAATCGTTAACTGCCGCGATTTCGTCATTCGTGATCGATGCTGGTGTGACGATTGCTCCGAAAACTGGCTCACTGTCACCGTGATGATTGCTCGCCCGCGCCCTCCCCACGTGACTGATTCGTCTGTCCAGGGAAAATCGCAGTACGGTATAGGGTACCGGGAGTTCATTGTGCATGTTGATGGATTGCGGGCCTGAGAACCATGGCTCGAGCAGCTCGCGGCTCACGCGGTTGTCACCCCTTGCGAGGATTTCGGCCTCTTGAAATTTGAAAATATGGACGGGTCCCGTCGAGTGTGCCGCCATCTGAGTGTTACCGTCTCCTCGCCTCACTGCTGCTGCGTGCTCGGTAATTCACGTACGGAGTAATCTTCCAGTTTATCCGACATAATGGCTCTGTCCGCAACTACACGAGATCCGGTAAACGACTTCAGACGTTTCCTGCCGTGGCAGCGGGTCTTTTGGCCTCATTACGTGGCATCTAATGGTTGCTTCCCGCCTGTGTTCAGCCCCAACTCCAACTGGAGTAAGAAGACGACTGACGGCTTCCGAAACTTTCTTCACGTACGGAAAAGCCCGCCAAAATTTGGGGCTAGTTGGATTTGGTCTCTGGTGTCCTTTTCGTATGCACTGGTTGAAAAGTTGCGCGGGTAGCCATTGGCTCTCATTAACCGTCGAAGATATTGTAATTCAGAAACCTTGTCTTCCATTTCACTGCAGTGCGTCTCAACGCGCCGGTATAGCTCCCTTATGCAGCTACGTTTGTGACTGATCGGGTGATTGCTATTGAAGATCAGTATTTGCGTCGTATTTGTCGCTTTCCTGAACACTTTGGTTTTTAGGCCACCACAATCTTTGCGGCAGACGAGGACAACCAGGAAGGCCAGCTGATTGTTTTCCTCCTCCTTCATCGCAAATTGGATGTCCGGGAAGACGGCGTTGAGTCGTTCTTTGAAAATCAGCACCTGATCCCGTTCGATGTCGACAAAGGTGTCATCCACATACCTAGGCCAAAATTTCGGTATGTGGTGTTGGAAGACCAGCGACTCCAACCGCTGGAGCACCGCCCCGGCTATGAGTTCCGAAATCAGCGAACCCATTGACGTTCCCTTCACCTGCTCGTAGATTGTTCCGTCGAATTTAAAGTACGTCTTGAAACAGAACTTCAGGAGCTGGATGATTTGGGCATGTCCGAGGCTATTCTCCGTTTCGTCGTATTTCTCTCGTAGGAGTAGTTTGATGGTCTCGACTGCCAGGTCCTGCGGAATAGAAGTAAAAAGGGACGTGACATCAAAGGAAACCATGATATTGCTTGACAGGAAATTTACTCCTTTAAGTTTCTTCAAGAATTGCGTTGACGAGCTGACTGTGGTGTTCGAGTCGGAGGTCAGAAACTTGAGACGTTGGAACAGCCACTTTGCCAGTCCGTAGGTTGGAGCGTCTTTTAGTGAAACCATAGGCCAGAGAGGAGCGCCCTCTTTGCACAAGTCTGAAATGTTATGATAACAAGAATTTCGCAAACCAAAAAAAAATGTTAGGACCCGTCATTGATCATAAGCGAGGAGGGATTGTTGTGGGGCAATGTGTATCTACAGTCTACGCGTCAGAGCTTTATACGCAAGACTATCGGGGTTTCTAGTTCTTCAAAAAACGATGATGCATAATTAAACGTTGCCCGATTCCTGAGCGCAATGAAGAAGATAGCTTGCGTGTCAGCGGCGCTAAAATCCACTGCAGGATTCCTCGGTTTCGAAATTGCTGGCTGTCCTACAAGCTGAAATGTCTAGACTTACCTGCGGCGTGTTGATGCTCTGCCGTTTGTGAATGTCAGAATACAAAAATAATGCACCACGGTTCCCGCAGTCGTAGCAGCCACTGGGACATTTTGGATAAGTTTGAAACGGCAGCTACAGAGGCCCTTTCTTTCTGCATCTAAGGAGGCTGACTTCACTCATGAAAGGTCTCGAGACATACGAATGTTTGGTAACCCACAAACGGTCAAAACTGTCTTCAACCAACACATCTTTATAACAATAATGTTACGAGAAATGAAAACCCAAATGAAAAATTAAAGTTAATGCAGTATATGAAAACCTAGAAAAACATTAAACATAGTTATAATTTGGTACACTTAAATTTCATGAGTACGGCAAGTCCGTTTATGCTCAAAAGTGGGTAAATAGGGCAAAATGAACAGAATAAGCTATCAAAATTGGCCTTTCCGTAAAGGTCACATTTAAGTAACCTTGCCAATTATTGAAAGTTAAAGTATGACTGACTGCCAGCGGCTTACATCCTGAGGATTCACGCATCAATCGCACATTTATATTGATTAAAGTGCGGTTCATAAGGGTTAACAGGATTTTGATTAAATTTGCCGATTGTTAAATTGTTTTCACATAACGCATGTTGCCAGTCTGATCAGTGACTAAAAATCTTATATATAATTTACAGGTATATTCGTCAGCCTATCATTTGTGTGCATAAATGGGCCTTTTCATTTGTAAAAACTAATTTAAATTCTTGTTTGTTCAAGAAATCTTTTCAATCGATTCCATAAAAAGGCAGACAATGTTTTTCTTCGCTAACTTGCAGTTTTCAAAAAAATACTCCTCTAAAGCATTTGCCAAATTGTTGAATTTTAAGGCATCTGTTATTATAGAAATGGTCACTTGGATTACCTTTGAAAACGCACCTAAACAATAACACTCATAGTCAACTAAAATAAACGTCCGCGAAAAGTTTATCAATGAATATGCTTGTTATCAGTTAAACAATAATTTACAGTAATAATTTTAAGTGGTGCTTTAATAGTGCACACCCTAAAGGGATGTCTGTTAAAAATATTTATTTGCAGAGTGCAGCCCAGCGAACATTTTCGCCTTTGCCTGTCGCTATTATGATAATATAAAATACTGAGATTCGAACTGCAAAATTACAAGCCTGCCTTTCTATTTATATGCGATGCATTTTTGCTACCTTATCTGGCACGCGTGCACTTTAGGTGCTCATGTGAATGCGTAAATTTGATCGATATTCTCCTTATTTACAGATGTGTAGAAACTAGATCACGCGAAGAACATTGTTCCATACTTTAAACATTCTATGCGAATATTCAGTGACAGTCGTCTCTGATGTCAATTCATAAAACTTCTCAAACGACTAAGTTGCAGCATGTCCAAATACATTGAAATTAATATATCCTTTTTTAATTTTATTATTTCTATACTGTAAATAAATGCAAGAATTTATATTATTTTTTTGTCGTTTTCAAGTTTGTTTGGGCACCGAAGATTAATTTAAAGACATCCGTGAGCCATACGAGTTAATTTTATGCTGATGGTATAAAAGAAGAAATTGAAAAGGTAACGTCACGGTGTGACTAAAACATAGGGAATTTTTTTGCAACAAATTGCTATTACGAAGATGTGTACGCGAATATTTTATATAAACGATATACATAAACTATTTAGGATTATTGTTAAATACACCACCTACTTCACTGATCATCTACGAATTGGGAGCAAATATTGCTAATTCAAACGTCCATATTCGAGCGAGATACATGTAAAGTTTTAAGTGTTACGCCGTAAAACTTTATTATCTCTATGAAAAATAATGCTTAGTAAGGGGATTCAGAGGTATTCGATATCGAGAATAATGTTACGCTATTGTTGCAAATAATACATGAGCGGCTCTTTGAATTTTTATAAAGCACTTAGTTCAGAACGTCGTGGGTAGCACTGCGCGGTCTCCCATGTTGATGGAAGCAAAATTGTGTTTTGTTAAATAACGTTCGCATTGTTTATGTGCTCATGCTTACCAACGTCCGCTGCTATTTACAAAGCGAATTTTTGCGTATTATTGTTAACTACCGGTTAATTAACGCGTTATTTTTAAATTTTTTCATCAAATTGTAATTCATATTCTACCTTTAGTTGTTTTAAGTGAATTTCATGCGCATGGAACTAGATTTTACCCACCGGTCTCACAAAAATCGTGGTGTGCAATTACAGACAACAACCACAGCTGTGACGGCAGCCCATATTCAAAACGCCTCTTGTACGGTCATTTAAACAATGTTGATAGAAGTGAAAAACACAAGTTATCATTGGTGTAAAATGTTTGCAGGATTGTTTTTTGCGGACTGACACTGAGCAGTACTTGCAATGGATTTCGTAAACAGTTACAAGAAGAAGAAAATCACGGGCAATTTAACGTAAATAAATTGCAGTTCGTCTTTTCAGAAGTGTGGCCGTGAGAAAAGAAGAGAGTTCCAATTAGGAGACAAGGGCAATAAGGCATCTATGGTAGAGGTGATAGAGATTACGAGGTCCTGTGCATGCATTTAACCGATCTTTGATCACTGTTGACGTGGAGAAGCTTGTACCAGATTCCTCTGGGCATATGAGATCGGCTTTCATAGCTTTATGACCGTTACCTTTGCTTGTTGCTGGCAGACGCTGACCCAGTTACTTACAGCAGTTTGGTGAGACAGTGTAAATAAGGCGGGAAATTCCTCTGTGGTCAAAGCGATGCCCGGGTCCAGTCATGTGTGCGGCGATGGTGCCATTCAGGCTTTTTATTCACCCTGTATCAACTGTGTCAGAATGTGTTGCAGTGTTCTTTAGATAGTCGTTTACTCACGTGACTAATGTAACCAGCTCTATAGGAGCAATCAAAGGAATAACCCTAACTTCTAATCAAGACACCTACATTTACCTTCTAAATAAAACCCGTAGCCATAGCCCCTAACGTTCACCCCTAACTTGTTACTCTACCCTTACTGTACTTGTGTCCATCAAACGGCTACCAAATTAAATCTTACACAAACTAGACTTACATTCTCGTTCAAAATAGGGTCTGTTAACATTATTTCCTAAATATATATTGCTTAAAAACAAAAGAAAGAGCGTGAATAAGGTATCTTCTCAAGACGTCTATCTTTTCGCCCCTGTACGATCATTGCAGTCCCAATGTTTCCCTTATGCGACCGTCAGTATCTAGGATAATTGCGTAGTAAATCTCCAGTTCATCACTGCTCAGCTGAAATTTCCTTTTTGGACGCCTCTAGAGGTAGAAATTTCGCTTCAAGGCAACATCAACTACGTAGAGTCCTTATTTTATGTGTTTTAAGCTCTTTGAATAGCAGAGTCGAATAAGCAGGCGTAAATAGCTCTCTCAGGGAATATCCACGCTGAAAAGTCGGCGCCCAGCAGCACTGACTGACAGAGTCCCTGCTGTTGTGCTGCGCGCCATGTCAGACGCTCTGACCTGCCAGAGAGCTCAATCCTGCAGTAAAAATGCCACGCGCAAAAGAATACGAGTCCTTACCGTGACCTATGACTGCTAAAGGGACGTGCGTTTCGTATCGATGAAAAAGGCCACGGTGTTCGTGGTGCATACAAAAACACCTCTGATCACAAACTGTGCTATTGCACACGCGTGCATAAACCCAGCACTGATCAAGCATTCATACTCTCCTGTACTCGTGATGGCGAACATAAGGAGAGCAGTCATGTGTCCCCAAATAATTAACTCTATTCCACCCGAACGTATACCTTCCTTCGACTTTAGCTGTCGTGGTCGGTACGATCAGTAAGCAATGTAATAAAGTGGTGGCAAAAAATGTGGAATTCATTTCTAACTTAAACAGATTATGTACAGCAGGTAGATCAACTCATGTAATGTCATCCGAAATTCGTTTTCGTTTCGGAAAGAAGGACTGTAAATTCTATATGAAATTACTCATTTCGGGAAGCTGGCGTTCAAACAAACATTTTTTCGGCCGCAGGAGAAAACTACACGCCGCAAAAATGACTACCTAATAGCATTTATTGCATGGATTTTCTATGCCCCTATAAATTCAATAGTATTTCATGGAGTATTTGCGTAGGAATATTTGTTTGTTTACTCATACGATAGAAAATGACTTCTTCATCTAAATTTGTACTTAAATTAAGTGTATAATACGGTATTAAATATGTTATATTTGTGAGGGTTTTAATACTGTGAAATGGCCGTTCACAAAACTTCATGTCCCTGCCTTTACCAGTATCACGTGTAAAGTAAATAATATTGCTTAAATCCTTTGCCTTAATTTAGCAGCCTTTTATAGTCTTCAATTATACAGAACAAAAATGCATAATTTAAATATGAGGAAAAGAATATACAGCCTGCGGTTTGGAAACCCTGAATGCGTAGGTAACAGCAGGTCGAGTTTTAATTATTCGGGGAACGTGAAGTTTTAGAAACCGAATTAGTCCCATTATTCGAGTGCATATAAATAGATCAAATTATACCCATTCTGTGAGAATAAAATTTTATGAATCTTTAATGTCCTACCAAATAAAAATTAATATTTCGATAAATATTTTCCATTAAATATAATTCAATGTTTTGTTGCATCAAGGTGACCGATTTGTTAGAGAATTATGTTGCCAGATAATTAGGTTTA